AATTGGGGGTCGGGTGGGTGAGGGGCCTGAGGCGCGGCGTTTCACCGCCGCGGGTTGGGTTTGAAAGGGGGTTCCAGGTTAGCCAGCACAGCCAGCCCACCCCAGCCACACCTTGGCAACAAATTTGGTGTCTTCCGGGGTGGCATCAAAGAAGCCGCCCTTGCGCCGCTTCCCCTCCGCGCTCCCCTCCTGCCGCTGCGCGTCGCCGGCGCCGTCTGCCACGCCCGCAGCACCCCTGCGCGGCTGCGGCTGCTGCTGCTGCTGCTGCTGCTGTGCCGCTGCCTGCTCGCGCTTGCGCTTCCCGGCCGGCGGTGGCGCCGCCACCTTCTTTGTCTCCTCCTCCTCCTCCTCGCTTTCTTCCTGCTCTTCGTCAGAGTTCGAGTCCAGCTGCTCCAAGTCCAGCTCCATCCCCGCCCTTGCAATCTCGTCCTCGCTGCCCTCCTCCTCCTCCTCCACCACCTCCTCCTCGCTGTCCCCTCCATCCAAATCTACGTCCGCTCCCTCTTCCTCCTCCTCGTCATCATCATCCACCTCCCCAGGCAGCGGCACATCCTCCTCGCTGTCGCTGCCGCTGCCGCAGGCGTCGTCGTCGCTGTCGCCGACGGGAGCGACGGCCGCTGGCCGCCCGCGGCCGCCCTGAAGGAAGGGAGGAAGGCAGCACGCATTGGCGGCGGCTGGTGGGCGGCAGTCCAGGCAGACATGCAGCGTGGCGGGTGCATACAGGTGAGCTGCTGCCGTGGCTGGGCAGCACAGGAGGCGGCCCTGCGGCGTAAGCTCTCTGCCTCACCTTGGCAGGCGCCGCCTTCTTGCCCGCCGCCGGTCGCTTGGTGCGCACCAGCAGCTGAGCGATCTTGTAGTCTATGGTGGTGGCGTTGCTGGCACCCACATCCTTCTCCGCTTGTGCCAGCGCGCCTGCATCGAGGGGAAGGCGTGGGTGGCGGGCGGCGGCGGCGGCGGCAGGCGGCGGCGGCGGCGGTGAGCGAGCTGGATGGGGCTGCCGGTCCGCCGCATATACCATGCGTGGCTGCTCATGCTTGACTGCTGAGAGCAGGCCGTGAGGCGGCAGGACGTGCAGCGAGGCGCAATGGAACGACATGCATGTCAGTGGCGCACCGCCAAATTCCCAGGGGGCCTGTGCATCGCCCTCTCCACCGCCCCCAAAGTCGAACGTGAACGAAGGGTTCAAGTCTGCCATCGATGCTGCATGCCCAAGTCGCGAAGAGGCCTTTGGAGCTCCCTGGGCACCGCTCGCCCTGCTATATGTTCTGTGCAAGCGACGGCGATTGCTCCTGGCGGTCCCTGGCTTCCAATTCTGACTCGCTTCTCGACAGCCCCCGCGCTGAGTTGGCAGCGGTTTGAGTTGAACAGGGGGCGCCATCCGATCACCCCTGCATTCCCACATCGAGCCCACCGTCTTCTGAGGCCATTTGGCCTCCCCCCTCCCTGCCTGCGGCGTCTGGCGCGAGCTGCTCCAACCAATGCCTGCGGCCTGGCTGCTGGGCCTGGGCTTGCAACAGCCCAGCCCCAAGCACGCCGGCTATGTGGCCGCCCCGGGAGGCAGCCCCACGCACCGGCGGCGAGGCCTGTCTCGCTTCCGCCTCTTCGTGGCCATCTCGGGAGCCCTGGTGCTGGCCTTCCTGGCCAACAACTACGCAGCCCTGATGCCCATGGACAGGGCGCTTTACGAGTGGTCGCTCAAGGGCTGCCCCACCAAAATCCTAGACCTCACTACCACGATGCAGGCATCCTACCAGGTGGGGGCGGCGGCGGCGGACGCTGGCGGGTGTGCTTCACCCTACTACGCATGCCCTGTCTGGCCGCCGGGGGTGCTCTCCATATGGTTTGCATCCCAGGGGCCTGTGCCAGCAGCTCGGCAGGCAGCGCTGGCGGGCTGGCTGACGGCCGCCGCATGAACTGCGCACACGGCGGTTGCAGGCGGCGGTGGCGGCAGGGCTGGACCCCGAGCTGGGGAACCCCACCCTCCGCAAGCCCAAGACCGCCATCCTCAACTTTGTGCGGTGCGTGCAGCAGACAGCAGCGGCCCAGAGCCATGTGCACGCCTCCCAGCCTGCCGCCTACCGTCAGCGGGTGCAGCAAGCGGGCCAGCCTTGCCCACCCGCTACCCCTGTTCTGCCCTGCCCTGCCTGCCCGTCTGTGCCCCCTCCTGTGCAGGTACCACACAGAGGTGGTGGCTGTGGCTGTCTTCCACTTTGTCAAGCTGCGCCACAATGTGACGGTGTTCACGCGGGACGACCCCTTTGACATGGGCGATGTGATCAATCCTTACTTCTGGAAGGGTTTCAGGTGGTTGGTGCTTCGCTGGGCTGCTGCCTGCATGCTGCCTCGGCGCCACTGTTATGTATGGCTGCGTTTGAATGGTGGCGGCGTGTGGCTGTCGGTGGCTGGGGATTCGGAAGCTGCGTGCCAGCAGATGGTACTGCTGGTGCATGGTAGTGACAGCTGACTGCAGCTGTCTGCATTGCGATGCCAATGTGTGGCCAGCAGGCAGGCCATTCCTCCACGGCTGGTTGCATGCTGCTGCTGGGCCCTGGCCCTCTTGGCCCATCCAGCGCCTGCCGCTGCGACCCGCCGTCTTCTGCGCTACCCACCCACCCGCCCACCATAGGGTATACTGATGTAGCTGTCGCCTGGCTCCTCACCACCCCCGCAGGAAGTTTGAGCGCTTCTTCGAGCACTTCCACGAGTACGACAACGTCGTGGTGGCCACCTTCCCCACCTGCCATGACCCCACATTCCGGGAGCTGCTGTCGCTGGGCCTGCCGCAGCGCTACATCGTGCTGGTGCACAACCCCGAGTACCTCAACAGCACAGAGGTGGTGGGGCTGCTCAAGCAGGGAGATGTGCGGGTGCTGACCATCTCGCCGCACGTGGGGGCGTACGCGCGGGAGATCCTCGATGCGCAGGGAGCGGGAGAGGTGCGGCGCCTGGTGGCGGGCGGCGGCAGGCAGTGTGACCTGGTGCCGTGTGTGCCGGCCTCCTGTTGGCCTGGCCACGTTGCCTGCACAGCCGCTGCGGCATGCCGCGTGCCCGCTCACGGCGTGCCCGCTGCCGCTGCGCTCCCCGCCGCCGCTCGCCCGGCTGGCTGGTCGGGTGCAGGTGGAGCAGGACTGGATTGCGCCCATGATGCCGGTGGTGTATCCAGAGGAGTGCGAGCCCGGCGGGTGGCAGGAAGTGCAGCCAGCGTGCGACCGGGGCCAGCGATGGGTCAAGGAGGAGCCGCCGGCGGTGGTGGGCACCGGCAGGCGGCAGAGCTTCTGCATCCAGGTGCGGGCCGGGCTCTGCTGCGGGCTGGAGGCGGCCTCGACCTTGGGGCGCCTAGCCATCTGAGCTCTGCTGCTGCTCTTCCTCCAACGCTCAATGGACGGTGCGGCCACCTTCCAGCTCTCCAGCTGTGCAGCTGCCCTGCCCATGTTGCCCGACGTGTGGCCTCACGTGTGCGCCTGGGTGTGCATACATGTGTATCCGCCTGCAGGGCAAGGTGGACCCCGCCCGCCGCAACTACGCCACCATCTTTTCGGAGATGCTGGCCCACAAGGAGGCGCTGCTGGCGGCCAACCTTTCGGTCACCATCCTGGGCAAGGGCGGCGGGCGCAAGAACAAGGTGCTGCTGCAGCTGCCCGAGGAGCTGGTGGACGCGGGGCTGCTTCGCCACTACGCCTCACTGCCCTTCCAGGTAACATGCCTTCGTGGGCTGCCTGGCTGGCTGCCTGGCTGCGCTAGCGGGCTGGCTGGCTGGGCCGCCCGGGCTGCGTGCATGTGCACGTGCCGTGCTTGCCCTGCCTGCTGCCCTCGGCCCTGCTTGCGCGGCAGGTAGCTCGCTGCTGCTGCTGCTGTGCCCGTACAGCCACGCCGGTAGCAGGCCCCTCATGCCCACATGTCCCATGCTGCCGCTAAACCCATGCAGGAGTATTACGAGGTGCTGCACTCGTGCATCGCGGTGGCCCCCGCCTTTGCCAACGACGCCTACTACGTCAACAAGGGCTCCTCCTCCATCGGCGCCTCCCTCATCTCCGGCACCCCGCTCATCGCCCACCGCTACATGCTCAAGTCCTACAAGTGAGCCCAGGGGCCGGGCCACTGCCGCGGGGAGCGGGGCTGGGTGTGCGGCAAGGGCGGCCGGAAGGGCTGTGGGTGTGCGGGCCTGGACTGCGTCGGGCGGCCTCCCGCGCCCCCTCCCCTCCCTCGCGGGCAGGGCTCACGGCGGCGCCCTCTCCCAGCCCTCTCCCAGCCGGCCCTCCACCCCCTGCCCCTTCCCCTGCTGCGCCCCACCCCCCCTTCTGCAGCTTCCTGGAGGAGTCTGCCGTGTTCCTGGCTGACGAGCCCATGTCTGATGTGGAGGCGATGCTGTGGGTGCTGGGGCTGGACCTAGACCTGCGGGAGGCCAAGGTGGTGGGGCTGGGCGCGCTGCGGGCGGAGATGTACGACAGGAACCTGCAGGTGCGCCTACAGGGCTGGCAGGGACACGTAACAGCCCTGTAATGCCCTGCTGCGGGGTGTGGGTGGGCGGGCGAGTGGGTGAGCGCCGTGATTTGCAGCGGCGGCTGGCTGTACGTGGCGACACGCATGTGTGGTGGTTTGTGGCTGGCGATGCCGGCTTGCGGGGTGAGGTCCCCCCGCCCTGCCTGCTCCCCTCCTCGCCCCGGCAAGTTGCTGCCTGCCTGCCTTCCCGGGTGCGCAGGTCCTGCAGCGCATGCTGGGGGAGCGGTACATGTACAAGCACCGGGTGGCCACGGGGGCGGAGAAGGGGCAGTACAAGCCGCTGTACATCGACATGACCACGCCCACCAAGTTCCAGGGCCAGCCCAAGAATGCCACGCTGCCGAGGTCAGGCTCCTCAACACCGGCGGCGGCAAGGGATGCACCACAGGAAAGCAGCATTGCCGGCGGCGGAGGCAGCGGCAGCGGCAAGGCTGGGCGCCAGGCCAAGGTGGAAGCGGCGGCGCAGGCGGGCAGCGGCTGGGAGCAGGCGCGGCGGCGGCGGCTGCAGCAGCGGCGGTAGTGCCCAGCACCGTAGTACTACATGCTGGGCACCCTCAGTACAGCGGATCGACCGCACTTGCTTTACACTAATAAGCCTTGCAGCCCAGAGAGTACTGTTGTTGAGCGCCCACAGCCCGTCGCGTCTCCTTTCTCACCCCCCCGCGTGGCGCACCATAGTGTGCCTACCCCTCATTAGACCCCTCAAAATTTGATGACGATGCTCCTCCCTCGATTGCTGCTTCTGTACCCTCCTTTCTTCTCCGGTTTCTTCCTGCTAGTATGTCTGTCCCCCTGCGCATGTTGCACTCTCAACTTCATACACACCTCTGGACCAGCATGAAGGCCCAGGGCGGCCCTCATTGGCCCTGGCTGCTGCTGGCCCTGGCAACCCAAGCCCTGTGGGGCTGCTTCCCAGTCATCTGCCGCTACTTTCAGGTGCAGCCGAGGCCCTAGGTTGCCCAAAAGCGGCGAGGGGTGTAGGGTGGGCCCTGCCTCTTGTGCTCGTCTCCTCAAGAGAGGCTGTGCTGCCCTGCTGCAGACCCGAGCACCACACACGCTCACAGGCCTGCAGCTGAGCTTCCTGGTGAATGCGCTGGCGGCCCCGTGCCTCCTCCTCTTCTCCACGCTGCCCCGCCGCCTGCTGCGCCGCCCCCGGCGCGTGCACGAGCAGCACGCCCTGCTTTTCTATGAATGGGTCAAGTACCGGCTGGGCAGGATCAGGCGCACCGCCAGCCTGCAGGCCCTGCTGCCGCTGCTGCGCGGCGAGGCAGCCGTGGAGCAGGCGCTGCCGGTGCCGCAGGAGGTGCCGCCTCGCGGCCCCTCGCTGCAGCGCCCCTCTCTGGTTGAGGACCTGACCACCTGCAGCCTGGATGCAGCGGTACGGCCCCAGGCCGTCATGGTCAGCATCAGCTGCAGGGCAGCTCCCGCCCCGTACCGCCCGGCTTCCCTGCAGCACGGCCTCGGCATCGCCCACCACACCCCGCAGCTGACGCCTCTGCACTCCGCGCCCGTCACTCCCCGCGGCTGGCCGCTGCCGCACGCCCAGCACGGCAGCGCTTTTGCACGAGAGGAGGCAGCCTGGTCAGCCCCAGCGGCCGGCGCTTCTCAGCTGCTGGGCTGGCCCAGCCGAGGCGCTGGTGCTGGCACAGCGGTGAGCAGCGGCCTGGGTGGCGGGGCAGAGGCAGGCACGGCAGAGCCGGCAGGCATGTGCAGCACCGCCCTGCCGCCATCCGAGCCGTCCTCGCCCGCCGCTGGCGCCCACCTCAGCCGCCTGCTTCCGCCAGGCAGCCCCCGCGGCACAGCAGAGGCGGCGCTGCGGCAGCCGCTGCTGCAGCCCACGGTTCAGGAGGAGGAGGAGGCAGAGGGCTGGCTGCTGGCGTCTCCTCCAGACCTGGAGGCGGGGGGCTCCCCCACCCGCCTCAGCTCGCCCGCTGGCAGCTGGGCCAGCGCCCTGTCCTCTCCAAGCAGCCCGCGCGGCAGCGGCGCTGCGCTGGCATACACGGCAGAGCCAGCAGGGGCGCTGGGTGGCGTCTGTGCGCAGATGGAGCAAGGGCGAGGCCCAGGGGCGCCGGCAGCGGAGGAGGGAGGGCAGCAGGCACCCGCCGTGGAGGAGGTTGTGGTGACGCTCAAGCCCTACACCCTGCACCACTGCTGGGTCACGCCCTGGGCGCTGGCGGCCAGTGAGCGGCAGCCCTGCGGGCCCTGAACCACCTCCGCTTCCCCTGTTTGCCTGTGCACGCTCTGGGCGGCGAGCCTGGGTGATCCCGTCCCCTGTCCACTGCCTGCTGGCAGGGGGCCTGGGTGATCCCGTCCCCTGTCCCTGCCTGCCTGCAGGCTCCACCGCCGCACTGGCCACGCTGTCCCTGGCCCTCATCTTTTCGGTGCGCTTCACAAACGCCTACTGGTGCCAGATGTGAGATGCGCTGCCGCCGCCGCCGCCGCCGCCGCGGCTCCACCCTGCTCCAGGCCGGCCGACGCGCTCACCAGCCATCTGTCGCAAGCGGCAAAGCTGGTAGGCCTCCCTCCCTCTCCGTGCCCTGCTGCCCATGCAGGCTGTTCATGCTGGGACCGCTGTTTGTGGCCTTCATCTGCCGCGGCATGTTCGCCATGCCGCTGCCGCCCCGCCTGTGGCCCGCGCTCACCATGATGATGGCAGGCGAGGGGGGGAGGCACCCCGGCAACAGCAGGCACCCGCGCTGCTGCGTCTCGCCCTGCTGCTCCTCCATCGCCGCTGCTGCGCCATCGCTGCTGGTGCAACCACCTGCTCGGCTCCCTGGCTCCCGTGCAGGCTCGGCGCTGGTCGTGTTTGGCAAGGGCGGCACCAGCTTTGGCACGGAGGGGCTGACGTGGCGGGATGCGGCGGGGCTGGGGCTGGCCCTGCTCAGCGCCCTCTCCCTGGCCGGCTACATGGTCCTGGTGCAGCGCACGGTGGGGCTGCTGACTGGCGAGGCGATCCTGTGGTGAGAGGGCGGCTGCGGCGGGACGCCTGTGTGCCGTGCACGTGCGCGCGCGTGCGTGCGGTGGATTGCATGCTGCCCCACAGCGGTCAACCCCTGCCACGCCAACAACACCCCGTGCCAAGGGGCGGCCAATGTTCCTGTTTGATCAGGCGCCCAATGATTCCCCCCTGATGCGCGTTGCCCGCAGGATCAACTACGGAGTGCAGGTGCTGCTGTCGCTGGGGCTGACGCTGGCGCTGGAGCCGCGGGAGTGGCACCGCGTGCGGGACCTGAGGTGCGCGGGAGCTCTGCGGCTGCGCTGCCGCCGAGGGGTGGCAAGCCGTGAGCTGGGGTGGTGGGAGCCCTGTACACACGAGGGGTAGCCTGCCCTCACGCCTGCTGCTCCACCGCAGCTGCCAGCCAGCCCAGCCCTGGCTGCTGCTGCTGCACAAACTGCAGTGATGTGGAGTGGGCGCAGATAGCGGCGGTGGCGCTGGTGCTCAACTACGGCGCCAACCTCGTGCAGCAGGCGCGCAGCCGGGGCCAGCGCCGCCCCCGCGCCTCGCACGATGCAGCCATGCAGTGCCAATGCCAGCGCCTGCTGCACTGCGCCCTGTGAACCCATCGGCGCAAGGCTTTGTGGCGGCATCGGCCTGCCATGGCCTGCCGCCTGGCATGGCAGCTCAGCCTCCTTTCCGACAGCTCCTGCCTGCCTGCCTGCCTGCCTACCTGCAGGTCACCATCCGGCGCCTGGGGGCCCCGCAGGTGGCCACCTTCCTGGCCATGCGCCTGGTGGCGGCAGTCGCCATCTCAGGTGGGCGTGGGGCCCGCTGCAGTGCGCGGGGCAGAGGGCGGGGGCGCAAGCTAGCAAGCACGACACCAGCTGCAGGTGGTGGCAAGCGTGCCAGTCGCACCCCCCGCTGCACGCAGGACCGCTGCTGGGCGAGCCCATCAGCGGGGCATTCGAGTACTGCGGGGTACTGGTGGTAGTTGCGACCGTGACATGGTACATGGCGGTACAGCGCCTTGTGTCCCGCCTGGACAAGCAATGAAACTGGTGCCTTGATTGCATCCCGAGTGTCCTGCACCCCCTGCTACCGTCTCCTTCTGTCTGCTCTCAGCTCATCACAGCAACAACCTGATGCCTGTGGCGACAGCTGGCCGGCAAGCACACACATTTGTGCATGCAGCTGCAGAGGCTGCATGGAAGAGAGCGCACACCATGCTGCGGGAGGGTGCCAGGCTGCATGGAAGAGAGCCCACACCATGCTGCGGCAAGGTGCCACACTTGGGCAGCCGCTGCTGCCGCTGCCGTCATGCCGGCACGCAGCGCCGGATGAAGGCTTCCACCTCTGCCACGCCGCCCTTGTCCACGGCTGCAGCAGCAGGGAGCAGGGAGCAGGGAGCAGGGAGCAGGGTGCGGCATCGCGAGGCAGCAGCAGAGCCTGAAGCGAGACGCGCATGGCGCGGCGGCGGGCGGCAGCAGGGGAAGCCGCGCGGCGGCAGGGGCAGGCCCACCTGAGAGGGTGGCGGTGGTGACGCGCACGCCGCGGGCCCGGGCGTGCGACTCAAAAGTGAAGGGCTCGCCGCGCACGCCCAGCTGCGCCGCGCCGCCGCCGCCGCCGCCGCCCACATCGCCCAGCGAGCCGCGCGTGCCGCGCATCTGCGGGCATGCGGGCGGGGGCACGTTTGGCAGCCGAGGCACCCGGTGCGGCCTGCGTGGGTGCCTCGCGACGCGCGCAACGCCTCGGTGCCTCCCTGCCGACGCCTCGGCCTCGCTGCTGTTCCCCACCCCCAACCCCGCGCCTCCACCCCCCACCAGCCCACCCCCCCACCTGGTCGATCTCCCGCTCCAGGCGCTTGCGGATGAAGTCCAGGGTGTGCGCCTTGCTGCCCTGGTCCTGCTTGTTGCAGGCCAGCAGCAGCGGCACGCGCCGCCGCGCCAGCCCCGCCTGGCTGAGCACCTCGTACAGCTGCCTGTGGTGGGGGCAGGGAGGGTCAGGGTCAGGGTCAGGGTCAGGGGCAGGGCAGGGGTAGGGCAGAGGCAGGGAGGGTGGGCAGCCGGCCAGCCAGGCTGGCGCAGATGGACCGCGTGGGGGCGGTGGCAAGGAGCGGCGGGCTGCCATGCCCGGTGCTTTCCCCACGCCGCACGCTCTGCCCGCGGCTGCCCCGCCTGCCTGGCGCTCGCGTGCGCCCCCTTCCCCTCTCTTGCGGCTGGCTCACTCTGCGGCCTCCGTCTTGCGCGGCATGAAGTCCACACTGTCCACCACAAACACCACGCCCGCCGCGCCGCCGGCGTACCGCTCCACCTGGCCCCGCACCCGCGGGTGCCCCGGGATGTCCACCAGGCGCACGGGGCGGGCAGCGGGGGCGCCTGCTGCCTGCAGGAGCGGGGCGGTGGGGCGCAGGGGCGGCGTGGGGGCGTGTGGAGTGGACAAGCGGGGGCGTGGTGGGGAGCAGTAGTGCGCGCGGAGGGCGGAAGGACAGAGGGCGAGGGCCGCAGGGCAGCCGGCCGCCTTGGAGGCATCAGCGGCGGGGTTGGGTGCAGGCGGGGAGTGTCGGCGCGAGCGGGGCACGAGCCACGCTGCGCGGCGGCTGCCAGGCGGCAGCGTGGCAGTCCCGCAGGGCGCACCTTTTCCGAGGCCAGGGGCCCCTCTGCCTCGTTGGCCTGCATGGAGGCCACGGTGCCCAGGTGGGTGCTGCCCTCTGCCAGCTGGTGGAACAGCGTGGTCTTGCCCGCGTTGCACGGCCCCACCAGCAGCACCACGTTGCCCTTGGGGCCCGCCAGCCACAGCTTGAGCAGGGCTGCGGGGCGCAGGGGAGGCGGGCAGCGGCGCGGCGGTGGCGGCGGCGGCAGCAGTGGCGGTCACGCCCTGGAGCAGCAGCAGCGGTGCCAGGGGAGCGCACTACGCAGGGTGCAAAGCAGCAGGTGCAGGGGCAGGGCAGGAGTGCAGAATTTGCTGCAGGCTGCCCAGGCTCACCCAGCACCAACAGCCCAGCTGCCAGAACCACCAGCAGAGTCAGGGTGCCGGAGCTGCCCAGGACCTGAGCCACCTCCTCCGCCATCGTGAGCAGAGTGGAATCGGCAGTGGCGATGTCTTGCTGCGCAATATCCGCAGTGTCGGCAATCACAGTGAAAGCCAACGTTTAATTGTGAGTTGGGGCTTAATGACACGGGGCTGCCTTGGCAGGGAGTGCCAGGTCGACAACTTGCCTTTCCTAGCCCTTCTGCAGGCGTCATCAGCGCTCGATTACAGCTATCAGGCCTGATCGCTGCTCAGGGCTGGGCCAGACGCGGCCTCCAGGCGCCTCCCGGGGAAGGGTTGCCAGCAGCCCGCTGAAGCTCACCGCCGGGCCAGCCGTCGGCACTAGCGGCGGCGTTACTGTGGCGGAGCGTCGCCCAGTGGGCCCCGGCCGCCATGGCCAGCGCGTTGCAAAAGTTGAGGGCCGTCCACCTCTATAGGCACAGCCTGAAGACCATGCTGAGCTGGGCAGTGCGCAGGGAGGTCTTCTATGTAGAGGTAAGCGCGCACGAGCTGGGGGCCGCAAGCCCAGGGTCAGCCGGCCGACGGGGCGGCGGGCGTACCCGCCACATGCTGCGCTGCTTACACGCAGGCCCTCTGCACTTCCTGCTGCAGCAAGAGAAGATCAGGGCGGAGTTTGACCAGCTGAACCAGTTGGTGAGCTGCCTCCATCTGTGCTTTTGTGCGCTAGGGTGTCGCCTGCGTCTGTGCTTCTGTGCCCCGCCGTGCTCTGCGCGCGCATACGTGATGTGAGCGGCTGCCGCGCGCCCCCCGCCTGCCTGCCGCAGGACGACCCCATCCAGATAGATCGCGCGCTGGAGCGCGGCGAGGCGCGGCTGCGGGACCACTTGCACCCTGACCCGTACATCGGTGCGTGTGGGAGGCCACGCGGCCTGGCTGCCTGCAGCATGCAGCAGGGGTCGAGCCTGGGAGAAGAGGGATGGGTGGGACCGGGGATGGTGGGGCCAATCCTGGCGCGCAAAGGGTGGCAGCGGCAGGCACGCTGGCCTGGCGCGCTGGCCTGGCGCGGTCCACTCCTCGGCCGGCCCAGGGCAGCACACCAACACCCTGCTGACCATGCCCTGCTGCCTGCCCAGCCGTCGCTCACCCAGTGCCTTGCGCCGCCCGCTCGCTGCGCCTGCAGTGCCGTACCGCCCCGGCGGCAGCCTGTACGCGCGCAACCCGCCCTTTGACCCCTCCATCCACGTGCACCTCGACTTTGGGCGCGAGGGCGGCCACTGAGCGGCGGCCCAACATGCGCCCCACGCGGCCTGGCGGGCTTCCCGCTCAGCCCCGTTGCCTGCCAGCTGCCCCTGCCGCTGCCCTTGTTTTGTTCACTCCCCAGGTGGTTGCCACCACGGGCGCATGCAGCCTGAGGCTGCTGTGCTGCCCCTGCCCTGTAACAAGCGCGGGCGATGCCTTCTGCTGACCTGGCTTACACGATGGCAAAGTGTTCAGGTTTTGAGGGCGTCGTGCCGAGGCATTGTTTTAGGGGTTGTGGCAGGCACTGTTGCAAAGGTCATCTGTTGACTGGGGACAAGTTGTGTCAGGGGACAGGGAAGGAAAGATTGATGCGAGGGAGTGGACGAACGAATGAGGTTTGTTGGGGTCAGGAAAAAAGTGAAAATTTGCTAGCTGCCAAGGCTGTATGCGTTTGGAGGTGCTAGGGTGCAAGAAGACATGAAATGTTGAGGCATGGCACAGCATGCTTGTCCCATTCCCAGGGGCTGAGTGGGGGAGGGTTTATGTGACAGGCAGGAGAGCAGAGCGGGACAAATCGAGCGCGCTCCGAGCGCAACGAAATTCGGGGAGCGGCGGCCTTCTCTACTGGACGGCCGCAGCGGTCGAGTTCAGCATCAGGGGGCTTGGCGCAGCTGGGTGGCGCTGCCTTCAGAGTGGCGGGAGCCGCGTGTGTGTGGGGGGGGGGTCAGGCCGTGAGGTCGCCGCCGGTGGCGCGCACCGCGCCATCGTGGGATGACACCCGCAGCAGGCGCTGGCGCAGCTTGCTCTGCTGCTGCCACTGCAAGTCCTCCTCCTCCTCTGCCGCCTGCATGGCCGCCGCCACGCGCCGCTGCGCCACCTCCGCCGCCGCCACGCGCTCGTGCCGCATCAGCAGCTTGTTGCGCCAGCTGGCCAGCTGCTGCGGCGTGGGCTTGGGGGGCGGCTGCTTGAAGGCCTTGGCGCTGGGCAGCACCCGCCCCGCAGGCACATCCAGAATCGACTTGGTGTGGCGCATGCGCCGCAGGCAGCCCTGCACGGGGCGGGCGCGGCACGCGGCGGCGCAGCAGGTCAAGCATGCTCCCCGCTCTGGAGCCGCAGCGGACATGCAGGGCCAGGCCCGGCACGCGGCTGCCGGCCGATGGCAGAGCCGCGCGGCGGCGGCGGCGGCGGCGGCGGCGGCGGCGGCGTGCGCCTCACCCACAGGCTTCCCTGCAAGCGCAGGGACGAGTCGGGCACAAAGACGTGGACGACGGCGCCCTCGCGCGCGGCGCGCCGCTCAGGCACCCATGGCTGCTGCGCCAGCTGGTACGCCGCCGCCGCCAGCTGCGCCGGCGTCACGCTGTCAAAGTAGCTCTCCGGCGTGCGCAGCTCGTCTGCGCGGGCACGGCGGGGCGGGGCGGGGCGGGGCGGGGCGGGGCCGGGCATGCAGGCCGGGGTGAGCGGGGCCAGGCATGCCAGAGCCAAGGGCAGGGCGGGCCGGCTGGCTGGCTGGGGCGCCAGCACGGAGCGCCGCATGCCGCCGCGCCGGCGGGGCGCGCACCTGGCAGGCGGGCCTTGTCTGGCCTGAGGCTGACAACGATGCCGCCCACCTCTGAGCCCAGGCGCACCAGGAAGGCGCCCTGCAGGCAGCTAGGCGGTCAGGCAGGGCCAGGCGCTTGAGCAGGGAGGCGGGGAGCCGGCCGGCGGCTGCCTCAGCGAGCTTGTGCGGGCAAGCCCACAGCCTGTGCTGCAAGCCCACAGCAAGGACAGGCTTGCAGCACAGGCTGTGCAGGCAGGCGGGCGGCGCCGCCGACCTTGGGGCGGCGGAACAGCAGCGCCTCGGCTGATGCGCGCGTGACGTCAAAGCCGCAGATGAGCAGCGGCGACAGCTGCTCCCAGTCGTCCCGCACAAGCTCCAGGGTGGACAGCTGGCTGCGGGGGCGCCGGGAGGCGGGCAGCAAGAGGGTGAGGGGGCAGGAGGGGATGCGCAGGGCGGCGGCGTGAGGCACGGGCCGCTGGCAACGGCCGCGGCCTGCTGAAAGCAGCGGTGCACGGGGTGAGGCGGGGCGCACCTGCGCAGCCACCACATGAAGTACCGGTACCGCCAGGCCGGTAGGCCCGCGGCAGCAGGGCCGGGCCGAGCCTGCCCCTCCTGCCCCGGGGTGTCGCTGGCGTCAGAGGCGCCGCTGCTGGAGTGTGGCGTCTGCTGCAGCCGCGCGTGGGGCGGGTGGGCGCGGGTGATGGCGGCCGCGGCCGCGGGCGGGAAGCCCGCCTGCAGCGCCAGCTGCAGCACCTCCAGCGGCTGCAGGCGGCGGCGGAAGTCGTGGGCTGCGTAGGCCGCCGCCACGCCGCACTGAAAGTCTTGCAGGGTGATGCGGGAGCGGTGCAGCGTGGTCAGGTACATGCGCGCCAGCGACAGGCGGCGACGGGCCTGCGGCAGCGGGCAGGGGTGGCGGACGCGGTTGAGCACAGGGCAGCAGCAAGGACATGGCAGGGGGCGGCGCTCCCCGACGGGGCGGCGAAAGAGCGGGAGGCGGGTGCGCGGGCGGCCTTGCAAGGTTCCACGGTGCCCGCGGGGAGCGAGTTCCGGCTCCCTCCCTCCCTGCGGCAAGCATGAACGCGGCTGAAGACTGCGCAGGCGTGGCGCACCTTTCGCCAGAGCATGGCGTCCACCCTCCAGCTCCCATAGGCCGCCAACGCCGCCAGCACACACAGAAGCATTAAGCATAACATAACTTGCACAAAACTCTGCGCCAGCAGCGGAAGAGAGCAGTGGGAGCCTGCCGCGAGTTTGTGGCGGTGGGCAGGCCAACCCTATGGCCGGCTGCAGCCAGCTGGGATGTCCGCTGGGTAGCTCCGCTCACCAGTGGGCTTCCAGGCGTGAGCCAGAACCAGGCGCGGAAAAGCACAGAGCTCGCCCTCTTCAGCTGCAGCTCACCATATACTGGTCAGCCGGCCAGCCTCACGAGGACCTCATCCGTTCCAACTACCGGCTACGGCTACCGCTCTCCTGTCCTGTCAACTTAACACGCCCATACTGTACCGCCGCCGCACCGCCGAAAACAGGTATGTCGTCTGCAAGGCCCTGTGTGGCGAGTATGCTACAAGGGGATGCAAGAGATCTCCAGGACAACCATGTTATCAAATGGTACACAGGTATTGTAGAAGAGAGATGGTGGGCATGCGCGCACTTTTGCACGAAATGTGCGGGGCTTGTTTAAGGGCTTGGACTCGTCTTCGGAGGAGACGCTATCACATCAAGGAAAAGACCAGGGGGTGGTAAAAAAATAAAAGGGGATCCGACCGCATTTGTTTGGATTAGTTTTCGCTGTAAGCGGGCAGCGCTGTGCGGGGAAGGCAGGCAGGCAGGCCGTGAGTGAAATAGGTGCGCACCTATGTCGCTCATGCAGAAAAGCATACAGTTTCTTTACCGTCACACACAGTTGTGACGGATATGGGATAATGCGACATGAGGCTGCCCCAGGGCAAAAAAAGGGAAGTGCTAGAATTGCGTAGGTGTGCATGGGTTTGGGGGCGTCATTGATTGAAAGAGCGATCGCGAGATGGATGGACGTGGGGGGCAGGGCCGCCTGCAGGCCATGCGCCGATGTGTGTGGCTGCAGCGCATAGCCTGGGTTTGTGGTGCCCCGCAGTGGGGCCATGCCCCGGGAGTGGGAGTTTGGGCACCGATTCAGGCCAGGTTCAGGCCAGGGTGCCAGAGTCGTTCTTGTCCAGGGGGCCCTCGCTGCAGGGGGGGGCCTCAAAGGAGCTGCTCGACACAGCATCCTCCCTCGGGCCATGAGGGGCCGGCGCCTCCAGGTCGCCGGGGCTGCGTGCTGCCGCCGCACACGTCTTGGAGAACATCAGCTCAGCCAGGCTGCGGGGTGGCGCGGCAGGAGGCGCGTGACAAGGTGTGCGGATGGTGGGCCGTAACAGACAAGACAGAGAAGCAGGGGTGAGGCAGGCTGGGAGAAAAACTGGCCTGCTGAATAGCCAGCGGCTGCGGCACTCACGCTATGCCCAAAATGCCATTAGCCAGGCCCACCAAGGCGAACCCGGCAAAGGCGATGGCACCCAGCCTGCAGCAAAGGGCAGCCACGCGCGGCAGAGCGGCAAGTTAGGTGGTGGGGTGCCGGCAGCGTTTTCAAGCCCAGGATGGAATATTAATAGTGTGCAGGAGGTGGGCAGGGCAGCGTGGCCAGCACGGGCAGCATGTTGCAACAGCAAAGAAATGAGGCTTTCTGGTGCCGCGCACATGAAGAGCAAGAGAAGGCTGGCGGCAGCATGGCCCCTGCGACTGCCCGTCACTTACGTGCGCACATAGCCCACATAATAGCTGCCGTTGTCCATCAGGGACAGGCAGGCAACCACGGAGAGGGCAGAGGCGGTGGCGCCATGGGCTGCGCAGCACCGTGGTGGACCAGGACAGCGCAGGATGGGGCAGGGCAGGGCTGGGCTGGCTGGCTGGCTGGCTGCTGGCTGGCTGGCTGGTGCAGCGGCAGCGGCGGCGGCAGCGGCGGCGGCGGTGACGGCGGCGGCGGCGGCGGCAGCGCATGGCTCACCAAAGAAGGGCATGGCGTGTCGGATGAGGAATCCGTTGTACCAGGCCAGGGAGATGAAGAGGACAAAGGACAGCTGGCAGCCGAGGACCCACCCTGCGGCAGCAGCGGGAGGGAATGGGTGCAGGCTCCAGGGGGAAGGGCGATGGCGGCGCGGCTAGAAAGCATGCCAGCATGGCGAGCGAGGCGCCGAGCGCAGCGCAAGGCGGCAAGGGCGGCCAAGCAGCACGGGCTGGCTGCCTGGCTTACAGAAGCCGATCTGCCACCAGGTGCAGGTCCACTTCTTGAGAGCCTCGGTCTGCTGCACAAAGACCTGCAGGGGGTCTAGGGGGAATGGTGGGTGGCACGCAGGGCGGCAGCAGATGGCGCCTCAGCTGCTGAACAGGCCGCAAGTCAGGCGAGGGACGAAGATGCAGGGGAATTGGCAGTGTGGGCGGCCTCTGCTGCAGAGCTGCTGCTCGGGATGCATGCAGCGGGCGGCGCTGGCAACCTGCTGCCCAGGGTGCTGTTAGTGGCGCTGTCTGTCTTGTCTGTCTGTTACACCCAGGCACAAACGCTGGTGCATGTGGTGGCACCCGCTCACCGCGTAGGCGGGCGTCCAGTACTCTCCCATGCTATTGTCGTGGCAAAGGGCCTGCAGGGATGAAAGGAAAGATGCATCAGCTTAGATAAAAGGGACTTTGAAATAGCGAGCCGCTGCAGCAGGCAAGACCGGCGGCGAGACCGTCGGCCACTACGCAGTGGGATTCCAGATGCAGCCCTGCCGCGGCAAGCCCCAAAAGTGACGACTGTTGTCAATCGTATGCTAGCCGGCAGCCTATCGACGACGATCGAGGGCGGAGGCGGTGATGGGGACCACCTTTGCCAAGATGCAAGCTCTCCCCCCCACATCCCGCCGTTCACCTGTGCTGAGGCGATGCCGCCCAGGGCGAGGAAGGTGCCGGTGGCGGTGAGCAGCAGCGCCAGGGCGAAGAAGCGCTGGGCTGCGAGCAAAGACAGCGGCTTGCGAGGATCCATCGTGCTTTTAAGATGCTCTGCAAGGTAATAAATGACGAATGAAGCGTTTGTGTGCATTGAAGGTGCATGCCTCCTGCACCAAGTAGTGAGAGCCCCGTCGCCTGCCGGTCCTGACGTGTCTGGAAGCGAACGCAAGCCGTTCAACGAGCTTGTCGGCAAGCATGCGCGGGGGGGCGTAACTGCAGGGCTAGACCTTGCAGCGCTCACTAGGGTGCGCTCAAACGACCTCCGAGGTGTAGCAGGGGCTTCGGCCAGGCTTTCCCGATTTGATTCACGCTGCCGGCAGTCAGAAGTGTGGGAGAGGCGAAGGAAGGGACGTGCAAATCCTGGGTAAGGATTCAGCCAGTATGACGGGGGCCTTGACCACTCGGCCACCCAGGTGCCGATCGCGGTTTTGGGGCTTGTCCTGTGCTAGAGACACCGTCAGGGGGGCGGCGGAATGTACCGGCCGAGGCAGGGACGCCCGCCGCCACCGCCTCCGCTGCCGCCGCCGCCGCTCGGCCGGTGCGCACGCGCGTGGCTCTGCCCAGGACTTCAGCTGGCAGGTCTTTAAACCACCACCGCGCACAAGAAAACTTGTTGGGGTGCAATGCTGCCGGGCGATGAATCTTGGCCGACAGTCGAGCAAGCACTCTCACACGGCCAGTGCTCTCCAAGCCTCGCCGGCATCTCGCTCGCGCTCAGGCATCCCAGGTGCTGCCCAGCGGCTGCACCCCCTCTGTCTGTATGGCGGCGATGCACTTGTCGTAGTACTGGCCCGCCGCCTCCAGATCGCCCAGCTCTGTACGGCGGCAGGCACGCACAGGCGGAGGCGGGCACAGGCAGCACGGCAGGGGTGGGCGAGCGGGCAGGCACGTGGCAGGAAGGCAGGTGGGCAGGCGGCAGCGGTGAGCATGCGCGTGGCGCATCGGGGCCCCGAGTGGGCCGCCAAGCCGCCTCCCGCCGGAGCCAGCCGCCCCGGCGAGCGGCAGACAGGAGCAGGCGCGGGTGCAGGCCTAGTCCCACCAGTCAGTATGTCGCCCATCTCTCCAAAGGTGTCGGCGTCCCCGCTGCCCTCCCCCAGCTGCTGCGACAGCGCGATGCTGCGGCGCAGGTCGCGTAGCGCGCCGGCGGGGTCGCCTGCGCGCGGCAGGCAGCGGCGGCACCGCGGGCTCGGCAGCAGCGCTGGCGTGGCGACCACGCCGCGCGCGTGCTGCCGCCCAGGCAGCCGCGCCCCCTGAGCTTGCGGGCGCCAGCAGCGCGCACGGCACAGGACCGCCAGCCGGCACCCCAGCATGGCACCACGTGCAGCTGGCACCCCAGCGCGGCTTGCCTGCATCGCGTAGCGCCCTGGCCCGCACCCGCACCAGCGCCCGCTCGGCGCGCACATCCGCCGTCTCCGCCGCCAGCTGCAGCCCCTGCTCTATGAGGGGGAACACCTCGCCCGGCCTGCCCGCCTGCACAAGCTCCTTGCCGCCGCTGCAGGGGCAGGGGCAGGGGGCCGCGGGCCCGGCAGGCAGGGGGCTTGCAGGGCGGGCGGCATTGCGCAGGCGGTGCACGCCACGGCAGCAAACGCCGTGGGCAGTGGCTGGCCGCATGCGAGGCGCATCCTGCCATCCTGCCCCACAAGCGCAAGCGCTGCCGCGCCGCCCGCCCCGCGCCCCACCGTATGCACTGCGCGATCTGGCGCCGCGCGCGCGCCAGGCTCAGCCGTTCGTCCCCAAACCCTTCGGTGGGGTGCGCGGCTGAGGGCGAGCGCAGCGCCGCCTCCAGCACACCCCGCTCCTCCTGCAGCGCCTCCTGCTGCCGCCGCAGCGCCTCCAGGGCCGCCGCCGCCTGGATGGCGGCGGCGCCGCCTCCCTCGCCGCCCTCCTCCCGCTCCTCGCCCTCCGGCTGCGCGGCGGCCAGCCCCACCGCTGTCAGCAGGCTGTCCTGCGCCTCGCGCTGCCGCCGCAGCTCCGCGTTGATGTGGCGCAGCTTGCGGTTCAGGCCCTGCATCTCCTCGCGCCGCCGCCGAGCCAGGATGCCTGTCACCGTGGCGCCAATCAGCGCGGCCGCCTGCAGGCAGCCGGGGAGGCGGTCGTGCGGCGAGGGTGTTTCGCGTCAGGGGGGGCAGGAGCCCGCGCTGGGCTGTGGGGCAAGGGGTGTTGCTGCTGGTCTCCCCCCAGGATCCACTGGCCAGAAAGAGTGGCACAGTACTGGAAGGGGAGGGCCTGGGACAGCCCACCTGGAAGCCCATGATGACGCCCACAGCTAGCGGACCCGGCTCTCCCGGGCCGCCGGGCAGCGGCGCCGCGGGCGGCGGGACGGCCTGCATCGGGCCGCCGCTGCCGCCTCGTGCCGCGGTGACAGGCAGGTGCCTCCGGCGGCCATCTGCGGCGAGCAGCCTTGCCTGCAGCCGCGACAGGGAGCAGCGTGAGGGGCGGACAGCGCCAGGTTCCGACAGCGCCGACGCCACCGCCCCCCAGGCGACCAACCGGTGAGCACAGCTGCATGGTCCGTGACAGCCACCGAGCGCACGCACATCTGCTCGACTCCTATGCCTGTCTGCCGCTGCAGATAGCGGGGTGCCGGCTCTCCACCCGCCCATATGCGCTGCATGTGCGAAGCAGACAGCCATTTTTGCCTCACGTAGGAAGGTCGTGGTCAAGGGATCGGAATGCGCCTCGGGGGAGAGCATGGCAGGAGCTCCACCTGGCGGGGCGGCGGCAGTGCACAGCATGCGGCTGCGGCGGCACCAGCAGCGCTTGCATCCTCCTCTCCTGCAGCACCATTCCTTTACAATGCCTGAGAACGAAAGTTCTGGCCAGCTGACAGCAAGGCAAAATTCAATGGGGGCAAACTGCGGTGCAACCGCGGCTTGGCGCTGTTCATGGGGAAACACTGGCAGGTATGCACAAGTGGCAGGGGCAACGCAAACGCATGATGCACACACAACGCCAGGGTGGGGCGGTTGGGTTTGGGTTTGGGGCGGGAGGGATCATGTCTTGAAAATCGCAGCAGGACGCTCGGCTCGCGCCTCGCCGCGCCAATCACGCCGATGGGAGCGCCGCACCGGCGCCAGGCGGCCAGCTGCAGGCGCCCGACCGCGCTGTGCAGCCTGGGCCCAAGGCGGGCTGCCAGTGCGCCGCCTTGGCGCCAGGCTGTGCCAGCTGGGCGGGGCGCCAAGCTCTTGCACCGGCGCCTGTGCCGCAGCTCAGTAGGGCCCGATGGCGGAGCCCTGCGGCGCATAGATCTGTTCGTCCCTGCACCACACGCGGCGGCGGCACAGCCGACACGCGTTGCAGGCGGGCAGGGCAGCTGCTGCGCCGCTGCTCCCTGGCAGCCATCCGCGGTGCATGCTTGTGCTTGGTGTGTGTGGGCATTGGGCTGGGGTTGTGGCACGGCGTGCCGACCAGCTGGGCCCTGCCTGCCTGCCTGCCTGCCTGCCTGCCTGCCTGCCTGCCTGCCTGCATGGGCAGCGCACCTGACGGCCTGGCCCTCGAAGCTGGCGCCGGGGACGTTGGAGTAGGTGGTGTGCAGGACGTAGGGGCGGCCGTAGGGCTCCGCGCCGGCGGGGTAGCCCGCCTCCTCCTCCTCCTTGGCCTTGTACTTGCCGTAGCCTGCGCCGCCAAATGGGAACGAGGCGGGGTGCGAAGGCAGCAGGCCATGGGAGCGGCAGGCGAGCGGGTGTTGTACTCTCTTGCCTGCACCGTGCCCCCCCCCACCACGCCCCTTCCCAGGCTGCACGGAGTAGCACGGCTGCGTGAGCAGCTGGCCTGTGGCTGCGCAGCGGCCATGTCCGGTGCCCGGCTGCCCGCCGGCTCTGCCGCCGCCGCCGGCCAGCCACCCACCAGCGGCCCTGTCCTCGCGGTTGCACCCTTTGACATAGGCCCAGCCAATGATGGGCACCTGCACGAAGCGCGTGGTGTAGCACCAGGCACTGGCAGCCGGTCGTCGGCGCACGACAGCCACACCAAGCCAGCGACACCCGCCACGCAGCTGCCGCAGCGGCGACGGCAGCGGGGTAAGCTGGGGCGACGGCAGCAGAGGGCAAGCTGGCCGGGAAGCGAGTGAGCAGCTCCAGCAGGCCACACCCGCAGGCCCCGCCAGCCAGCCCGCGGCACCGCCATGGCGCACCTTGGCCATGAAGCTTTTGAGGCCCTTGGACATGGGCACGCCTATGCCCCACTTGCCGATAGGCAGCACCGTCTGCAGCGCAGCCAGGGGGCAGCAGGACCAGGCTTGAGAGGGAGGGGAGGGGCTCAAAGCAGCGCAGGGGAGGCGGCGGTGGCGTGAGGCATGGCCACGCGCCAGCGGTTTCACGGGTCGGCAGAGTCGGTCTGGGCAGAGTGCACGGTGTACCGCCACCGTACCGCCGTCCTCACCCTCTTGTACTGCTCGTTGATCACATCAGCCGCGGCGATGTACCAGGCGATGCCTGCAGGCAGGGCCCATGGGCCGGGCCGGTCAGGGGTCGGCCTCGCCCCGCCACACTGCAGGCACAGGCTGTCGGCAGGGGTGCTGGCCAGCAGGCGTGTCTGGGGAGCTGCTGTGCTGCTGCCTCGGGCCCTTACTCACCCGCCACCACCAGGCCCCACCAGCCCGCAAACTGCCCAAGGGGTGCGACAGCAATGGGCGTTAGCACGCGGACAGGTGGCGGCGGCTGCGGCAGCAGCACAGATTCACCGGTGGTGCAGTCAAGGCGTAAGCAGGGCGCTGGCTGGCTGCCTGCGGCGCACCTTGTGCCAGAACACCGCCTCGATGCCGGCAGCCAGCAGCCAGAACAGGACTGCATGCGCATGGGTGGGGCCACAGGGGGGCGGGCGCGGCACGACGTGAGGAGTTGAGGTGGCGGCAGGTGTTGAAATAGACATGGTGCTGGTGCTTCTGATGAGGCACCTGGAGCGGCAAATGTCAGGCAGGCGGCTGCCGCCAGCACGCGGCTGGCTCGCAGGGCGCCTGCTGCACCAGCGGCAGCAGGCAGCTGGGGCCCACCCACCTGCCAGCATGAAGAAGAGGAGGGAGAGGCAGGCGTTGAGCTCAAAGGTGCCAATCATGAAGACTGCGGCGGCGGGGAGGGGGGCGCGCGGCACGCAGGAGGGTTAGAGAAGAGGTGACTTCACGTCAGTTAAGGCGGCTCTGGACCGCTAGCGAGGGAGGTCCTGTGTGTGACACAGCCAGCGGAGTGATGCACCGGCAGCACAGCTTCCGGGAGCATGGAAGGGAGGGGAGGAGGGCTGGCAAGCTGGCAGGGCGCCTGGCTCTGGCAGGCCGGCAGGCGGGCCGGCCCGGCAGGCGTGCGTGCGGGCGTGCGTGCGGCTCACTGAAGGTGAGGATGCCCCACAGGCTCAGCATCATCTGGTCGGCGTTGTGATCCACCACAAAGATGTCGGCCTGCGGGGGGGGAGGGTCGGCGAGGTGGGGCACGCACAGGGGGCAAGCAAGACGAAACAGAAGGGGTGTTGGCTCGACGAAAGAGCGCCCGCGCATGCGCCGCTGGTGTCGAGGCTCTCCGCTCCCCGCGCGCGCACACACGCGCGCATGCTCCTGCCCCAGGCGCCCCCCTGTACCCACCGCCGCCAGGATCTGCAGCAGCACGAAGCCCATCCAGAAGGCGCCGTAGGAGGTGAAGGCAGCGGCGCCAAAGGTGTTCTGCCGCTTGAACTCCCACATGCCTGCGGGGCGGGGAGGGGTGGGTGGTGGGTGGGTGGGGGTGGGGTTCTGGGCGTGCATGCCCGCGCGCGCGCGCGTGTGTGTGGAGCAGGGGAGCACGCGGAGCGGGGGGAGGCACGACCCGGGGAGCTATGCTTATGAACTCAGCACTCAGCAGGCGAGAAGTGCAGGCCCGCCCGCCCCGCCCCCATCGTGGCGCGGCGCAGGCGCGGGGCTGCTCACCCGCCAGGAGCTGCGCCAGGCCACCGTAGAACATGCCAAAGCTGCGGGGTGGAGGGGAGGGAGGAAACGGGCAGGGAGGCAGGGGTTGGCTGCCAGGAGCCGGCCGCGGCTCGGCGCTGGCCGGTGCCAGCAGCCCCGAGGGGTGCCGGCAGCGCCTGGCGCTCGTCCGGCAGGCGCCATAGGAGGTGGTCTTCTCAGCCCACCGGGCACAGGGCTCAGGGCACAGTTGTGCTCAGGCAGCAGGAGGAGGGCAGCGGGGCAGGGCACTCGGCAGGGCACTCACGCCTCCGCCATCTGCGCCGTGCTGGGCTCTGTGATGCCGGTGTTGGCACCCTGCATCATGGCCGTGGTGTAGCCTGCATGCGCCGGCAGGCGCCAGCAGGGCAGGGGCTGCAGGCTGGGCAGGCTGGCAGGCTGGGCAGGGCACGAGGGCGTGATCAGGTCGCAGGCGAGGTGGCGCTGTGGTCGCGCGCAGCTGGCGCTGTGGTCCAGTGCGAGCAGTGCTGCCATCTGGTGCAGCAGGGCTCACCAAAAGCAAACAAACCGAGCGGAGCCGGGTTCGCAATCTGCTCTCTCTGCACCACCTTGTACTCTGCAGGCGTATGGGGAGGGGAGCGGGCAGGGCAGGGCCGGGCGGCGCTGCTGGAGGGAGCGGCAGCGCCCTTCCATGCCGCCATGCATGCTCCTGCCATGCCTCGCGATGCAGGGCCCCACCGGTCTTGGGGTTGGGCCCGCCGCCGCCCGGAACCACCACCGAGGGCATCTGCACCGGCACCTGCAGGCGGGGCAGCAGGGCAGGCACAGCGCAGCCACTTGCCCCGGCTGCGGCACCTCGGCCCAGGCAACCTTGAACCCCGCCGCCCCTCCCGGCCCGCGGTCTGCTCCCCCGGCAGGCTCACCGTCGCGCGCCGTGTCTCCATCACGCTCCCTGTAGACACGGGCGATGCGCCTGCCGAGGCGGAGTAGCCGCCGGGCGCGTCGCTGCCAGGCGCGGCGCTGCCGACCTGCGCCATGCTGCTGCTCCTGTGTCTGCTGCTGCTGCTGCCTCTGCTGGCCTTGTGGGCGAGGGCCAGGCCCTGCGCCAAGCTGGCTAGCTGCAGGAAGAGCACTGGGGGGAGTGGGGAGGGACTGGCACGCCCTGTGGGTGCCGAGTGACGGATGCCTGCAACTCTGCTGGGCCGGGGCAGCAACCAGGGACACGAATACAGCCTCCTGGGCTTGGGGTTTGGCTCGAACCTTGGATGTGCAGAGCAGCTTCTTTCCACATGAGAGGCATGGGGGATGCCTCTCCGTCTTTGCTCTGTTGTGCGTCTGATGACTCTGTGGGGCTGTGTATGTTCCACATAGCAATGAGTGTCGTCAATGGGAACGTCTACACCATCTCCCTAGTCACACAACACCATGTCCCTAGCGGCGCAAGCGGCTCCGCGGCCTCTGACGCCGCCAGGCGCTGTGCCATGCCGTCTGCTGTCTCGCCGCCCGGGCTGTCTGCTGTCCCCGGAACACTGGCTGCCGCTCTCCCTGCGCCATACCCGCTGCCGCCCTGCGGCGGCCATGTGGCTGCTACCCGCCCAGCGAGCGGCGCACAGCCACCACGATCCAACCCCTAATCTCTGCCGCCGGCATAGTCCTGCCGGCTGTCGACCCAGTGCCTGCTCTGCGGCTGGCAGCCCCAGCGGCGTGCCGCCCTCCGGTGCCGTCGGCCCCACTGCCCCTGTCGCCCGCTGCCCCTCG